TAAATGTGAAATATAAACGGAAGGAAGGAAGGAAGGAAGGAAGGAAGGAAGGAAGGAAGGAAGGAAGGAAGGAAGGAAGGAAGGAAGGAAGGAAGGAAGGAAGGAAGGAAGGAAACTCAGGTGATTTATTAAGTTTGATTATGCCATTGCTACCTATATAGCCTTTTATGATTTTCACAATTTTACTTGATATACTAATTGGAGTACTCATATACAGTCGAACAAGAACTAATAACATATAGATAGTAATAATCAGCAACAACTACAGGAGGATATTTTATGGCTGAGCCTTCAATAATAAGCAACAGTGTTTAAATTCTGTTGGATTTAATGGCATCCCCTTCCAAAGGAGGTATGCCTTCCTAGCATGTTTGCCTCCCATCATAACCCCACTTGCACACACACACAACCTGGATTCCAACTACTTTTCTCATATACATGCATGTATTTTTCATTCAACGAAGCCTGGGCAAATTTCCTTTTTCCAGGATAAAATAGGTAAATAAAATCTTAGCATATATATATATATAAATATATAAATATATATATATAAAACAGCTCAGACTTCTTTTGATATTGGCTTTTAAAATATCAGAAAGCGCTTATTTCTCAAACCGATTCTAGCCTTTTAAATCTAAATACAAAATAATATATAATCTCACTTGGCTGGTATTCCTTGTTCCAACAGAACAATCTGTTCATGTTTTTCAATTATATAGAAATCTAGATAGTGTTTGCCTTGAACTGTAAAACTGTTCTTCAGCTTTTTACCATCATACAATGTGATGAGTCATTTTCAGCTTTACATACATGTAGCACTTAAGTCACAACAAATAATTCATTTTGGGGAGAAAATGCATTATTCCTGGAAAGCATTTTGCTATATAAATTTCCCTTCTTCTCAGCTTATATTTACATGTTCATTAGCATTTATTCTGTCACAAAAACCAAATATTATCACTGTAAGCTGTTTAGGCACACCTTCTGTCATCCATTGATCATCTTTTACTATGACCCACTTAAAGAAAAATAGAAACCAGAAAGAATGGCTCCATTGCTAGACACACTGCTGAGTCCAACATGAGGATATTCTAAAATATTAATGAAATACTACTGTGATAACTACATCCTTGAATCAATCACAATAAATTATATTTTTATCAGCTGAAAATTTTTTAAAAGACAAAAACAGAATCACTGAGTACATCAAAAAGGAACAATCATATTAATATTTCTATTTGGGTTTAAAAACTGAATGATACAGGATCAAACAATATAAAGTACATCCAAACATACTAAAGATTGTGCCTTATTTACGAGATATTCACACATAATGCTCCAGTTGTCCAAACATCATATTAATTCAGGAGAAACAAAATTAGCATATATCTCATATAGTAAAGATATATTCTGTATATGGAGCTTCTCTCCACTGCACTATGAAACTGAAAAATACTTTCAAACATTATAAAAATATACCTAGTTCCCACTAATCAGATACCTGAACAGCAATTTGTCTCACATCTCTGTTGTCTGATGTACATGAAATTCAAACAACACCATTTGCTCAATTCAGTGATGATAAAAATAGAGAATTGCCTCACTCTATATCACAAAACAGACAAGAAAAAATAATAATAATCAAGAAATGCTTTAGAGAAAATACTCGTTGGTATTAAATTTAAAATATAAATAAGTTTTAGCTAGCTGTGCACAAACAAGTGTGCCTTTTGTCAGCAGCTGTGGGGATGCAATTTCCTTGTTTACTTAGAGAAATTGTAGAAGGCATTTCGGCTCCTTTTGCCATGTACGAGAGAGGCTATTGTACATGGCAAAACCTTCTACCTATTTCTGAATTCTCCATGATAATGGAGAGGGGGGAAGAGAAAAAATCAGAATAAACCTGCTGCAGATTTGTACCGAAAAGGGTTAATTTCTGCACCGCATTCCCTAGCAGTCCTGGCTGCTGAAAAGAAGGCAGGGAAGAAAAAAAATGTCGCTATCCCAGTTTGTTTATGATAAATCTAAAACAGTGTAATGGTAAACCTGGAATAAGGATCCCAGAGGAAAAAAAAAAACAACTAATTTGTTAACCCAAAACAGGGCTGGTTTCTTTTGGAAGGAAGGCTGGGGGTGGAGTAGGAAAGAGATTTACACTGCAGTATCTGGCAGGAAATATGGCTGCCTCTGCCCCTTTAAATCTAAGTGGCCCTCCTCTTCCTCCTCCATCACACAAAACTATTATCTGGTCTATCCACAATTATCCTTCTCCCCTTTCCAACAGAGCCAGAGATGGTTCACCCACCCCAACTCCGGGAAGAGAATATTTCAAATTCTAAGTTCAAACCCCCCGAGATGTTTGTGCATATTGATATATGTAGACACTGCAAGCACGCGCACACACACACACACACACACAAAAGGCTGTTTCATTACCAGGTCAGCCTAAGACTTCCCAACTCCAAGACTGTCGCTGTCTCATGACTCTTCTTCATGCCTTCCCACGCAAAATGTCACGCAACAGCAATTACCACCGGGCGGTATAATCCATTCAAAATCCACACAGTTCAGGCTTCACACCTCTTCAGCACAGATTCTCTCTCCCCCTCTCTCTCTCTTTCTCTGTGTGTGCTCACACACGCTTCTTCTATGACGGTTACCAATGTGCAGATCACACAACAGCACAGATTCCTTCGTAATGTCCCTCATTCCACTACACACACACACACACACACACTTGCCCATAAACGAACTCTTTCATTCCTTAAACTATCTTAAACTATCAGGGGCTGAAGTTTAAAATAGAGAAACCATTTAAAATTATTTCAGCAGCCCTGCTTTCATCGAGTTCATAACACTTACTGGACTCTCCACTATTAACCCTCCACTGCTAATTGATCCGAACCTTCTTCAGCAGAAGATGGCTCACTTGATCATTGATAAGAAGTCTTCAGAGGCTGTGTGGTCCTCTGTCAGAAAGGATCTAGTAGGAGATCCTGCACTGTGTTTGGAGTAGGTGACTGCTACAATGCCTTCCATCAAAGTGATCAATGGAGCCATCTCTTTCCTTCAGAATTCTTAGCCATTTCGCTTAATTTTACCCTGCATATCCTCAGAATTCTTCGTAGTCTGAAAAAGTTTGGTGCCCATTTCCGCACACTAACCTCTTCCTCTTTATTGTGCCTCATTTCTGATGCATTTTGATATCACCAGTTCTCTAACTGCATGTGTGTGTGTGTATATATACATATATATATATATATACACACACACATATATATGTATATATATATATATA